TAATGCTCTTGTTGTTACGTCCAGTCCATCCGAGTACTGATGACATTCCTGCTACACAGTCGAAGTTCACTGGGCCTGTCTGAGACTCACAGCTGTAAGAAAGGTGTGATTTCTCGCTTGGGTTAGCTAGGCAAGCACCAGGTCCCTTGTTACGGCTGAACCATTTGACTGATCGATAAATAAACCTGATCGGTCGTGTGATTTTCGGGCCGGCACNNGGAGCGGTGCGCCATGTGGGAAATTCCGAATGGAAAGTGCTCAAGCGATGATGATACTGGGTCAACGCTTGACTCGTAAGAGGTGTACTGTGAAATGTATCAGATGCATAAACCGTTTGACACTCAGTTAACAACCGGCTTTGTCTCGCCCTAGCGTCATGGTGAATACAGAGCTCTGACTGTTTTTGAACGAACAAGGAAGGGGTTTTTCAACAGAATCGCGATCGCTTAGACTGTGGACAGTAGGCGATGCTTGACCTGCTTCGACCTCACCCAAATGATCGTGCAGATGGGCCTGACTGACTCACTCATTCTGACACGATGTCCGGATTCGATCAAATGAGCCGTGATTCCCGTACCCCGCGTTCTCATCAATCCTTCAATTCAGTCATATCCCGAAACCTCCAACAGTTTCAGATGGTCTTCCATATTTGCACTTGTTCATTACGGTTTCATCTAATTCAACAATTCTGGACGGGCCATCAATCATTCAGATCAGGCATTTTACACGAACATATATCCCGACAGAACACGTACTGCTGAATTGTTTTCCTTTCGGACAAGCGACATATGCTGTTTGCCATAACCACTGGAATTTCCAAGACGAAATACGTTATTAGTTCCACCGGAGGAGGTAGTGATATTTTGGAATTTTTGAAAAACGTGCCTTTTCGAAACGACACAGTTTGCTTACACTAGCGTCGAAAAAGGAATCCGTTCGGTGTCTTCAATAATTGTTAGATGGTCATAGGGTGATCTCAAACACAGTCACACTTTCGGCAACAACTTTCGATCTTGCGAATACTCCGCGTGTGAAATTTCTTCAACTTGAGATAGAAATGACCGCATTCATGAAGGGTGAGACATATTGAGCGCACGAAAACAAGTGAACATATAAACAAACTAAATTAATGATTATATATATATATATATATATATATATATATATATATATATATATATATATATNCTAAAGTTAACCTGGGGGGTCAGTGTCGATCAAGTATATTGAATATTCATTGCGTGGCCGCAAAAACACAAACACGGTTTTCCGACAACAGCTCTCTACCTATGGACACTCTCGCGGGTTAAATTTTTTATTTATATTTTTTATTTCTATTATAATGATAACTTTATTTCGACCATTCATTTGGATCACTTTGGTCTGCTCCAGTAACGATTTGTGATCAGTGAAGTCTTTGGAACGTTTGACTGTTGATTGTGTGGATATCTTATCTCGCCTGAATTGTAATGAGCCTTCCGTTTGTTTGAAACAACCAATGTTCCAAGTCCCTGTCCCGCCATGAAAATATTAATATTAGAGTAGGCCCTATTCCGTCTTATGTATTTTACGAAATGGACAAGTTGATATTTTATTGGTTGTCTATTTTGTCCCTTCCACTTCATTCCTTTGAACGATGACAGTAATAATAGTAACACTAGTCGTGCCATGTCTCTTCTTGTGTCATCCGCCTATTCTCTTTATCAGCACGGACGTCTGCTTGAAATGTGTCAGCCCTCACATCGACGTTATCAGGTAGCCATTACCAAGGTTTTGGGGAAATACATGGATGCAATTGTGTGTGATAGTGAAAAAACGGCGAAAGAGTGTATCCAGTACATGAAAGACCAGCGTATTGAACCGGAAACGTTTCTTCCGCTGGACTTTTTGGATGTAAAGCCAATTGATGAAAAACTTCGGTACGTCTTCCTTACCACTAGTCATCCCGTCGATCGTATTGTTATCCTTTCATACACTTCACACCTATCTGAGTCCAGAAGGTGTGCCAAACAAATCACAGTACTAAACCATTCATAAGAACGAAGGAGATTCATAATTTTCTAGTAAGTGAAATACCGCTCGGTTACTCAGGCCAAACCAAGTACATTTTCTTGAGGATCATCGACGCGGTTACAGCCTCCAATGTTGGCTTTTCATCCACCGACTTTGTTGTAGTATTTCTCCGCCTCATTAAGAAAGTGAGTAGGGCTTTCTCAGCAGAAGCTATTTAAGACGCTTGATCGTGTAGGAACGTTTCGCGACTGACTAGTTACAACTTACGAAACCTACTTCCGATCACACTGATACTTTCATTGACTTGTTGGCGTTGGTTTTGATTGTCGATGTCATTTGTTGATAGATTTTAAGTTATGGATGAAAAAGGTGGGCCACCCCGTTCAACCGTCAAATTTAGTCGTGCGTGTATTTCGTACTTCACACAGGTCTAAATCCCGACTGTGTGCCAAACAAATAATCGTACAATAGTCTTTATAAAAAGAAAGTTCCATGGTTTGTTTGGGGACGGAATACTGCCAGGTTCCCAGACTAAGGCAGGTGAATTTTCTTGAGGAATCCACAACCGGAGTCTTCGGCTAGCCAAAGCTTGACCCACAAGACAGTGGGGCAATGTGCATAAACCGCAATCCATTGAGGGTCGGTGTCCAGCTAATCGGATTTTACACCCTTTGAAAGGGGGTACCCAATAAACATCGATACCTGATCGAGACGGTGACCAATACCATAGCTAGCTGTGGGTGTGTAGTTCGTACTTCTCTTCTTGGTTCGTCCTCACACATTGGTAGGAAAGTACCCACTTAAGGGTTTTAAGTAGGGCTTCCACAGAAAGGGTGCAAGTGATGTTTAACCAGCGACAACCCGAGATACCCAGCCCCGAACAGTGAAGCTTTCGAGGGCCGCAGAAGATAGTGGTGGTATTGAACCGGGCCACAAGAAAACTGCCTACCTGCTATTCTTTGAGTCTCGTGGTCTTCCAATTTGATGAGTACTCTGGTTTTTATACTAGTAACCTTTTTTTATCCACACCGTATATCCAAGTTACAAAAGATCGAATGATCTCTTTCATTAATTCCAGTGAAATCTCTGATCCACCAAACGTACATTTGGTACTCGATGTAATCCAATGTGATCCGGCTATTGTGAAAAAAGCATTAACATTTGCTTGTGGCAACGCCCTGGTATGCGAGACTGTGGAACACGCTCGTTATGTTGCTTACAATATGGGCGATCGGAAGAAGGTAAATGTTTTCCTGTCTACTTCGTTTCTCTTCTGCTGTCAAACACCTAGACGATTGTTTTTAATCCCCAGCTGTATGTACAGAACTCGGATTTGTTCTAAATGCGAAAAGGTCCAACTAAGCAGATCCCTATTTAATAATAATAATAATGATAATAATAATAGTTTTAATTTGATTTGTTGGGCATAAATCACAATGCAATTAGTTCACCATTCACCTCCGACCTTGGACTAGTCCCCACAGGGATTTCTGCAAACCTGTATCAATAGATCGAAACATTTTCTTTCACTCTTCCCCATACATATCCTTTGAATTTACTTCGCATTCGTTGCACAGATTCTCTCGTTTCTGTGTTTATCCCTTTTTATCCTCTACTGGTCCCTATCTATATCCACACTTGCTTCTCGCGCTGCACAGGAAGTTGGTTTTCTATTCTACGACTGCCGCTTATCTACTCCCGCGCATCTTTTATTCTCCACTCGTGTACTTTGCGGAGCTTCCTTTTCCCTTTATCACACTCTTTTGACTCACACACACACGCACACACACACACACTGTATGATGAGATTGGTTGCAAATAGGATTGAACTCATTTCTTGAGTTTTTCTCGTATCAATTTGTCCGACCAGCCGGACGAAGACGATTCTTTGGTCCACAATGAAACGAATGTAGATTTCCAATGGTCCAACTATGCCTGTAATGTATACCCTTTATTTTATTCCATCTGTGTATTTCATTAGTGGAGTATCACAAGACACAGCACGTGTGCGGTTCCACATACTCGTAGCCTAAAGTCTTTGGTGCCCATTTGGAAAACCTTCAGTTCTAGGCGGTCTCTCTGGCCTCATGGAGCCTAGGGGATTCTCAAGGTGGAATAATCGGAAGCTATGAAGATACAGTGGCGATTAAACTAAAAAGGGCAACGGTGTGTTTCAAGAAGCGGATTGGATAAAATTACACATTTGGTTTCCACCGATATTTGTTTCTTTTTGGTCTGTCCCGAGTTTAGTTCAATACTTTGGAATTTATGCCTGTTTGTGTGTGTTTGCCGCAGTTAACGTCACTCACAACTTGTTTTCAGACCGTCTCTCTCGAAGGAACTTTATTCCAGCGCTCGGGTGTGATTTCCGGGGGTGCCAGGTGCGTCCTAATGTTGTCACAGCTTTCAATTTTTTTCTCTCGCCATCACATGCGACACAAAATTGGTTGATGTTTCATTTGGTCTATTTATTTTTTTATTTATTGTTTCGCTGAATGCGTTTCAATCATTGACCACAGTCCTTGGATTACGGCTGGACAACTGGCTTCTAACATGCGTTTTTTATTGCACACTTTTGTGTGATAAGCAGTGCAAGAGGTCACGAGGACCCACTGTTTACTTGAGGTAACCGGCCCCACAAGCCTTTGGGTTTGAAGTGGTCACCCACTAAGGGCTTCAACGGAATAGTATTGTTGGTAGTGCCCAGCGGTAGCTGGCTTCTCGTTCAAATCGGCTTTCCATTGTTACCCGTGTACCAGAGAATCAGACGACACTGCATACGAGTGACTGGATTACTTGCGCATAAGCGTTCGTACTTATAAAGCGGATCCTTCTGTAGATTTTTTTATCAAATGCAGCAAAAACATGGCAGATTATTATCATCAATCTGCAGCATCATCTTTTTCTATTTTCCTATTTTACCGTCTGTCACAAAACGATATATATATATATATCTTTTTCATTTTCTTGATTTTTTGGTGCCACTGCTCTTGTCTCAGGAGTTTTCTTATGAGGCTTACTTTGAAATGGTTTATTCATTAGCGCTTGTAGTTAAATTGGCGGAATTCGATCTAGACCATTTGCTGTTTATTATGTTTATGCACGAACGGAATGCAGTTTCTTTGTCCCGTTCTGTATTCGTTCCCTACAGTGATTTGAAAGCCCGCGCCCGACGTTGGGATGAGAAGCAGATCAGCACTCTAATGGCCAAACGGGATGCACTTCAGGCAGAACTGAAAGAACAGTTAAAAAGAAAGCGGAAAGAGGCGGAATTACGCACAATTCAATCCCAAATCAAAGGTTTGGATACACGATTGAAGTACACACTAAAAGACAAGGATAGTACGGTTAGTTGGCTGACAAACATACAGCGTTCTGCATTCTTTTTTGCATCCATATTCAATTTCTGACAGATGCCTATATTTTATTACACATGAATAGCAGACGGGGCCAACTTCATAATCACGAAAACCTGCCTCTGATGGAAACCGGTAACCTAAGCTCCTGGACTTGGAGTGGCGAACCACATAAGGCCCCGCTAGGTTAGTCGTGGTATTGAGCCGGACGACAGTTAAGCTGTCTACCACTAAAGTTGAGTGGCAGTGGCGGGGCTCGAATCCCGGATCATAGGGTTCAAAGCACGTCGGTGACGATGACAGAACCACTGCACCACCATCACCCACTTCAACCAACAAATTCACGTTTCTGTATTTTTCATCCTCTTTTTTTAACGAAAACCGGTTGCAGCGATTTATGTGACGCTGGGTGTTGTACCCACGAATTGGGTCACAATGGATCACATGAGTGGATTTTTTTCAACAATTTGTGGGTTTGAAAAACAAAAGATGATTTCACGGTTTTAATTGGTCACACTATCTGGGATCGAGCCCACTGAGTATTGAAGTGTATTCGTATCGTGCATTCCTGATTCCGCATTAATATCATGGCGAATCGAGTCCCCCATTCGTTGTGTGCGCAATAGTGATTTGAAAAACACCGTATACTTCGAACGGGATACACAAAGCGACACAGTTCCACAACAATAGCCTGCACTATCTCTACCTCCAATGTTGATTTGCTTTCAGCTTTGCTTTCACTCGTCATCGTTCGTGTCCCATTAGATTTCGCTCCTTGTTAGTAATTGAAAACACACAAGATGATATGCATGCCACTCCATCCGCTGGTGATCGTTCTTCTAAAGTCAAGTTCCATAATCTAAAATAAAATCTACTTTTGTTAGATCATTGTTTTACGCTATGGGGTTATCCATCCGTCTTTTGTACGCATTCCTTCATTTGGTTAGGAGTTTGCGTTAATTCGAATGTTTTACCCTCAATAGAAGATATAGTTGGTAGCTATAATAATTTGTTTCCTGGCTGGCACAGCAGTTGAATTTATCATAATGTTATATTACTGAACTATGCCGTCATTTTTTCCACCGAATTTCCCATGCTCATCCTGTTGTTTTGCTTTCTAGGAGGAAAAGCTGCGCAGTTCGGATGAAGAGGAAATGACACAAATCGGTCGTGAATTGGAAGATGTAGATGTGAGCATTTACCCACGTCAAATACTATCACACTCGCGTCTCCAATGCATTCTATGCTTATTGCATGATTGTATGATCGACCGAAATGATGAACTTTGTGACCCGAAGGTTTATTGTGCGTGAGAGACAGTAAGATATCACTCTAAGCGACCGATTGAATGATAAACCGGGAGTTAATTGACGAGTTGAATTTTCTCACAATGGACTTATTATCGCTATGAATCGTGACCGCATCACTTATGCTTGCTGTAGAATTCCGATATTATACGGAACGTAGTTTGCCAAGAAATGTTTGCCGAAGCATTTGATGGGTGGGAGGAAGCTTAAAGGTGGTCAAGCTAAGACCTGGTATGAGGGTATGAAAACCCTAACCGGGAATCTGGGTCACATAAGTCCCGTTAAGCTCCCTGGTTGGGTACCTCGGGATGATTGTAACCGGTGTTTAGAGACGCTGAGTGATATGGCTGTGTCGTCATTAGTGGCGTTGGTGCATCTCAATTTCTTTGACACCTTAGTCCACTGAACTTCTTCATTTTCTCTTTGGTTTTCGCACTCGTCTGAGGCCAGACTGTATGCCGAACAAATCATGGTATAACGATCTATAAAAAAGGAAGACATTTCATGATTTGCATGTAGGCCGAATACTGCCAGGTTGCCCAGACCAAGGTAGGTGGATTTTCTTGAGAAATCTACAATCGGAGCCTTTGGCTAGCCCAAGTCTGACCCGCAAGGCAGCGGGGCGGTTTGTGAAAACCGTAATCCATTCTGAGCCGGTGTCCAGTTCATCGAATCTTACGCCCTTCGGACAGAGTCAAACGTCCAAGATGCCCAATTGAACCGAACCGAAAAGGTGTGGATGTGGTTCGTACGCCTCCTCTTGGTTGGTTTGGAATCAGGGTTTTTGGCCAACTCCCCTAGGTGAACTGCCAGTGGTTCACCAAGCCGACTAGAGCCCCGGATGTCGGCTTTTCGTCCTCTCACTTTGGTGGGTAAACACCTTCACCATGAATAGGCAGTGAGTAGTGCTTCCTCGGCAGAGGCTTTTTGAGACGCTTTTTTGTATGAGAGCGTTTCGCGAAGTGCAAAGGAAGGGTGGCTAGCCGCAACCCTAGACACCCAACCCCGACCATACTGAGGATTTTGGAGTTATCGTTCAACGTCCGACTCACTGTTCGAGAGAAGAGTTCGGGTTGAAATACACCTGTTAGAGCCTCGGGAGAAACAGCGTCCGATGTTCACGCTTGGACAACTGACATAATAAAACATCTGTGAGCAAAGATTACTGAATTTACCGCGGAAAAAGAAAATAATATTGAAGATGACAAAACCTTCGGGGTGTTTCTTGTGAAGGAATCGAAATAAAGTAGGGTCAACCCGTACGAGAGCTATGCAGTTTTTGAGGCTATCTGCAGTTCACGATATGAATTCTACATAGCTAAAATAGTTCTCACTTATTTTTTGTTGTTCAATCGATTTTATCCAGATGACAGTCTTTGTTTGTATTTGTCATTATTTTTTATCACCATTCTAGGAACGTCTAGGTCGATGTCAGACGAAGATGCAAGAGTTACAAATTTCTATTAATGCAGAGAAAGCCAAAATGGATACTGTCGAGGACACCGTGTTTCACGATTTTTGCGTTCAGATTGGGGTCGATAATATTCGGTAGGTTTTTCCCTTTGGATTCAATTTTTTTCGGTGACCTAGTTTGATCATTTTTTTCTTATTTGACCGAACAGCACAAAGGGTTGTATTTTTCATTAACCACAAATCCAAATAAAGGTATTCTTGTTTTTATACCATATGAATTTGCCGACCCTGGGTTTGTGAATTGTTCTGCTTGTGTAACTCAGGGGTTTGGCTCTCGCCCCGATGTTTTGTGCTTCCGGTGCCAAACGGGACACAATGACAGTACTGATTAATTCCAACAAGGCAAAAACAGCTTTGCAGTGCTCTTTATTGATCATCGCACACAAATGTGCTACAAATCCAATTACCTTTGCATTTATTGTCGCTAAGGTCTTTTCGAGCTCATATGTTTTCATTTTGACTGAATAGCAAATTATTGTTTGCAGATCCCTAAACCGGTCTGCTTATTTCGGTTGTTGAAACACAGTTGATTTCATCCTGTAGTATTTTCCATTCTGCGTAACTTATTTTGTAATTTTTGACTTTCGTCTGCTTTTTGGAAGTAAAATCCTCAGGAATTGTTATTTCTTTGTTAATTCAGCTGTTGTCTCACTTCGGGTTCATTCATGATCTGAACAATGGAGCGTTTCAAGTCCTTGTTAGGTCGGTCAGTTGAACAGAGAGACACATGATGTTGGAATTCGTTGGATTGGTTAACTTAGAGATCTTTGTTGTGTATCGCTTTGCTTTCTCTCTCTCTCTCTCTTAAATTAACATTTGTGTTCTCAATTGTGCAGACAATATGAAGATCGTGAATTGCGCATCGCTCGAGAACGCGATCGTAAGCGTTTGGAATTCACAAATCAACTACAACGCATCAACAATCAATTGGAATACGAGCGTTCGAGGGACACTGAAGGTAAGCCATCTGGTGTACGATTTTCTATCCGATAACCAGATTCAGATTAGGGCACTGATTGTGTGAGTCTGCGATTAGCTACTCTGATATATATTTTTAATCACAAGTCTATATATAATATACATATTCGAAGAAAAAGTTTCGGGTGCAAGACTGCTCAGGTCAAAGTAGTTGAATTTTCCTAGGGAGTCCACAACCGGTGCCTTCCGCTAACCAAATGTTGTCCGGCATTGTAGCGGGTTGCTGCGACAAAACTGCAATCCGCTGAGGGCCGATGCTTAGTTCATCGGACCATACACCCTTTGGACGGAGTTAAAGAGCCAAAGTGCGCAATGAACTTCGATGCCCACTTGAGCCGGTGACCAATACCAGAACCGAAAAGGTGTGGGTGTGGTTCGTACGCCTCCTCATGGTTGGTTTGGAATCCGGGTTTTTAGCCAACTCTCCAGTATTAACTGCTAGTATTTCATCGACCCGGTTATAGCCCCGGGATATTGTGTTTTCTTCGTTACACACACGCACACACACCGCCACGTTGAGGCGGTGAGTAGGGCAGTCGCATCGTGCGTTTCACACAGTATAGTATGAAATAGTCTCCACCACAAAATCTTGTCTGGTGAGAGTTAGCTC